TTAAGGAATACTGTAGAAATTATAGAGCAAGAAGGAGAGTCACAGAACAAACAGGAGACAGTCAAATTTGTCCATCTAAGCGAATGACCTAAGACCAGTTCTGTTATTTCAATCCAAATGCTCTAATTTGATAATAAACCTGTTCATAATATTAAAAGCTAATTTCACCCTTGTTTTCTTTTAGTTTCAAAATATACTTTAAGTTTATTAGTAGAGACCTAGAATGCTTTTATTGTTGAGTTTTACTCTCTATCTTTGCCAGCATTTTTTGCATCAGTACTAACATTGGACACTATTATATATATGGAAATGCTCTGAGCTCCCTGTGGGAAATTTATTATATTTAATATCAGCTAATTACCTCTCTGTTATAAACCTGGCTTCATGGAAAAGAATTGAGCAAAAAGCTCCATCCACATAAAATCGTAACATTTTGGAGCTGGAAGAGTCTTTAGTGATGATCTGATTCAGTGATCTGATTCAGATGATTAAATTATGGCCTACTAAAGCTAAGAAGAGCCTGACACCTTTAGGAAATAATTTACATTGTGGAGAAAAATAGGAACTTTTCTGAACAATCTGTTAAAGAGTCGAACGTGGATCCAGTTACTTGTAGATGTTTTTCGGTTTAACTCAGACAACTAGTTAGTACTCTTTAATTCCCATCTTGCTAGTCCTTGAAGTAGTTACAATATGATGTCTTCAGTCCTATCAGGAGCAAAGGTAAAAGACAATCAGTATTCATTGATACAAGCACTGGAAGTAAACCAAGCAATGATGAAATGTACCTACTGTCAGACATGGCTTACTTGCTTAGTTGTCTCATCCAATATTCTTTGGGAAGAATACTGAGTTTTACTATTCACAGTAGTTTGTGAAAAAAATCTGGGAGTATATGAGCTATGTGGATTATATTAGGTGACAAAAATATTCCTTTTCGACAGTTACGAATTACCTGTGCTCTCTTCTAAATTCCATGTATATGAAATCCTAAACATTTACGCTATATTATTACTTTCCCAGGGTCACTTAAGACAAAAAAGGAAGATAAATGGTGCAGCATACTGTAACTGCTATTTCCCACCTTACTATTCTATGCTATCACTATATTTTCATATGGTATTAACACAACATAATTTTTTCAGGGAAAAATTTATTTGTATTTTTGAGGATAATGGCTTTTTATATGTATGAATCTAAAGATAAATATTTATTTATGTTAAAGAAAATACACGTATGCGTGTGTCCTCTGATCTACTTCCCTTCAAGTTTTTGCTATAAACTAATACAGTTTTAGCCGGTACTCAAGAACAAATGACATATTTAGTAATGCCAAATCCTATGTCCAAAAGGATGGAGAATATGTGTTTGGAGTTGATGAATAATGATTAATCGTGATTATGATAATTAAGAATAAATGATAGGTCCTGGATATTTTGGGGTTCTCACCCCTTCCCATTTGTATAATAGACGACAAATGCAATATACAGCTGCAGCACAATTAAATGCCTTTTTCTTTGTAGAATTAGAGCCCTTTTTGATACTGTTTAATATGCTGGGTCTATAAGGCTACTATACACAAAACTGATTCAATCTGTGACAATGATTTCACCAAAATTATAAAAAACGATACTGGTCTAAATAATTTATAAAATCACAAAAAATATTCATGATGTGGATAGTGCTTAAAAATAAAAATATGATCAGGATATATTGAAATCATAAAAATTTTACAAAAGAGAAATATTGTCAGAATTGAAGAGGTTTGTATTCCCTTTTCATGTTAGGCATTTATAAAAAGGCAGAAATGCCCATTTTTGGCATCGATGCTCTCTTGGAATTAGTTCTGTCAACACCCCTCCAGGTGGAACAAGAGAAATAGACTGAGAATTTTGTTGATAAAATGAGGTCATTCCAAAATCCCATTTTGGCTGTCCTCTTCAGCATCATTTTAAGCCCCTGGATTTGACTCATAAAATCTTTTTGGTTTGGAAAGGAATTTTTCTGCATCTTGCCATGAAAATAAAAACACTATTTTGTAACAATAGTATCTGTTAAATGTCAAAAATGTGCCAGGTGTTTAGCAGAGTTAAAATGCTCTTATTGGTTCAAGAAGAAGATGCCAGTTGTTAGCTTAGATGATTCACAAGGTACGTAGTGATCACTGCACATGTATTGTTTTTATTTCTACTCTAGACTCACCGTTAGGATATGTACCAGCAAATAGCCCTAATACTAATCCAGGTCACTTCCTGAAGACTTTGAAATAGCCTATTTTTTACAAAATTCAATTTTTTCACATTTATTGTTTTGTTAACATAATTGTCTCTCAATCTCGTCATGGATTGAGACCTTGGATAAATGAATGTGATCTTGCTTACTTTTAAATCTTAGTACTTATCACATGGCAAATAGTATGAGCTAAATAAGTGTCTATTGAGCGATGATGATAATGAATGAGTAAATCATTCTATTTTTACTGCTAACTCATTTATTTCTCTATAAATAATAATAGTAATAATACTTTTAGTAAGTTTTCCAATGTTGTTATTAGTAGTTAATAAAAACACAATGATTAACATCTGCCTAACTGAAATATTGGATTGTAGATAGCACAAGTAAAAGCCATTACTTTGAAAATCTCGACCGTCCACCTAAATTTTTCTCTGACTCAATATTGGTTATGAAGCAAAACCTACATAAACCAAGATAAACAATTCAGGCATCATAATTAAAACTGACCTTCTCTGTCTGTTGTCTATCATGTGATTCTTTTGTGCAAAAAAATCACCAAAAGCTTTTGTTTATCATATTGACTGAATGTCAAGATCTCTGATGATTATGACTCTCAGAGGAAAGCTTTATTAGAAAAAACGTAACACTTGGAATACTTTAAAATAAATATTTACTATATAAAAATGTGTTTTTATTTTGGGCTATGCAGTATTCTAACTTTATAGCAATTTATTTTATTCCCTATATTTCAGAAAATGAGTAAACAAAATTATAACAATAACTAGTATTTCTCAATGGGAAACAAAGAAACAAAAAAGATAGCAAAACAATTGTCACAATAGGATCAGTGACAATGGCATCTAGGATTAAAGCATCAGCTCACACCAGTGCGAATTCTGTGATCAGCCAGTTGTTTGTGAAACAGTCTGGTTGGATGAGGAAGGATGAGGAGGAGGGATAATTAATTCTGTAAAATATAAGGCATATTTAGGAGAGGAGAGCAGAGAGTGTAAAGGGACCAGGCCTTTGGGAGCTCCTAAAAAATCAATTTCAAGATATAGCCAGATTGAAAGTTGTATAAATTTTCCCCAAATTTGTATGCACACAAAACTAGTGTATAATTGTATACCTGAAACTAATATAAAATAATATTGAATGTCAACTGTAATTGAAACATTAGAGAAAAGGGGGAGAAAGTGAAGGGGAATAAGAGGTTCAAATTTTCAGATATAAAACAAGTAAGTCTTGAGTATGAAATATAGTCAATATTATAGTCAATAATATTGTAATAGTGTTGTACAGTGTCAGATGGTTGCTGGATTTATCGTGGTGATCACATCTTTAGGCATATAAATGTTGAATAACTATAAACCTGAAACTGATATAATATTGTATGTTAGCTATATTTTAATAAAAATCTTTCAAAAACAAAGAATAAGAGACTATAAAGACTCCTAAAAAAACTAGTGCACATTAATGAAAATGTAAGATATTATAATTATATCTGTGCAAAAATGGGAAGGACAAAAGCACCTTTAATATAGTATATTAGGCTTTACATGACTTGATCCCTGTCTGTATTTCCAATTTAATCCCTCAACAACCACCTTACTGTATATGTTTCTATAATAAGTAATTCCTTTCATGTGACTGAACCCCCTTGTTGTCTCTCAATTTTGGACTTTCAGACTGTGCTCTTTCTGTCTGGAACATTTTTCCCCTTTCCTATTCTCACTTCCTTGGGTGATTCGTAGTCAGCCTCCTTAACTCAACTTAGAAATCGCTTTGAAATGGCTTGACTGGTTCCACTAAACCTATGTTGTGTATCCCTTCCGTGTTCTCATATAGCAATCCAGAGTTTATCATATTAGATTGCAATTCAAGGTATGCTGTCTACCATAAGCCTCTTAAGTTCTGTGAAGGCAGGAGATACATCCAGTAACAATAGCCCACTTGTTTGTTATTATACACTTAATACTTAGCACAGTGCCTGTTTCATATAGTAAATGCATCTGTTGATGTAAATCAAAATTCAATTGCAAAGAAAGATGTTTATTTATTAAGCATTCATTAATTTATTCATTAAGTACTTAACAGCTCAAATAACTCAGAGGAATCCCAAGCTAATACTAGGCAAAGGGATAGAAATCAAGATAAAAGTTCAGCTGCCAGGGTTCCAGGAATTTAGATCAGCAATTTAGGCAGGATAGTCATGCCATATAACAGCCTGGACAGCAGGATTGGAGAAATGGGTCATTTTATGGTAAAGAGGGGATCCAGAATGTAGTGGCAGGTAGAATTGAACCAAACCTCTGCTTTAGAAAGAAAACATTTTGTGCTCTTATTTTCAGGACAAAAACTGACCTTTGATCAAAGTTGAAGAGACAACAAAGTGACCTTTAGCATTTGCCTTGTGATTAAAAATATATTCTTTTATTTGATCAGTTTTATTAAAATATAACCTACACACAGAAAAATTCATCCTTTTCAGAGTACAGTTCTGTAAGTTTTGACAAATGTATACAGTCATGTAACCATCACAATTTTGATATAGATCAGTTCCATCACTCAATCACTTTGTGCCTCTTTGTAATTAATTCTAACCCTCATCTCCAGCCCCTGGCAACCAATGATCTGTTTACTGTCTTTATAATTGTGTCTTTTCCAAAATGTCATCTAAATGTAATAATGAATTGTGTGGCCTTTTGAACCTGGTTTCCTATAATTAGTATAATGTATTTGTGATTCATTCATATTTTATGTGTTTGGGACTTTTTTTGTTTTTTGTTTTTTAACCCACCAGCACAAATTCTGCAGTCAAGTTTCCCACATGTGGGAAAATCACAGGGGTTAGCACATCCAGAGTGCAATGAGCGAGGAAAACCAACTTTGTGATCACGTTCTCTCTCTTGTCAGTTAAATATTTATTAGATTATCTTTCATTGCTGAACAGTATTTCACTGCTGGATATATTACAGATTATTTATCCATTCTCCCATTGAAGGTCATGAGATTTGCTTCCAGATTTTGGCAATTATGAAAAAGTCACCATAAGCACTCATATGCAGCTTTTTTGTGTGAAGATAACAAAATATGTACAGTATCTATATGAGGAAAATCAAAGAACTAAATAAATGAATAGATAGTCCATGTCCATAAATAGGAAGACTCAATATTGTCAAGATGTCAGTTCTTCCAACTTGAAATATAGGTTCAACACAATCCCAATCCAAACCTCAGTGAGTTATTTTATGGATATAGACGAAGTGATTTTAATGCTTAGATGGAGAGGCAAAAGACCCAGAATAGCCAATGCAATATTGTAGGAAAAGAAACAAAATTGAAGGACTAACACCACCCTACTTCAAGACTTAGTATAAGGTTACAGTAATCAAGACAGTGTGTTATTGGCAAATGAATAAACAAATAGATTAATGGAACCGAATAGAGAACCCAGAAATAGATCTCCATAAATATAGTCGACTGATCTTTGACAAGGGAGCAAAGGAAATGCATTGGAGCAAAGATTGTCCCTTCAACAAATGGTGCTGGAACAAGTGGAAATTCACATGCAAAAAAAGTGAATTTAGACACGGACCATATACCCTTGACAAAAATTTACCCAAAATGGATCATAGATTTAATGTAAAATGCAAAACTATAAAATTGGAAGATAACATAAGCAAAAACTCAGAGGACCTTGGGTATGGTGATGACTTTTTAGCTATAACAGCAAAGGCACGATCCATGAAAGAAAGAATGATATGTTGGACTTCATTAAAATTAAAAACTTCTGCTCTGAGAAAGACAATGTTAGAAAATGAAAAGCCAAGCCACATACTGGGAAAAAATATTCGCAAAAGCCTTATCTGATAAACACCTGGTATCCAAAATATACAAAAAACACTTGAAGCTCAACAGTAAGAAAACAAAAAACCTGTTTTTGTCAGTTTGGGCTCCTATAACAAATACCAGAGAGTGGGTGGTTTAAACAACAGACATTTACTTTTCACAGTTCTAGAGGCTGGGAACGCTAA